CCCGCCCCCCCCCCCCCCCCTCCCATATGGACGAGAATTTCTGATGGGGTTCTGAACGGTTATGGGCATCGGCATCCTTTGATCTTAGCGTTTTTTTCTGAGGTGTAAGGCAAAAATTTACCAGTGTGTGACTCGGCACTTTGATCTTTTTTCTTGGGGGTTCAAATTTTACTGAGCTCGTCCATAGGGGGTGTGGGGATATTTTTGGAATGGCCCATGTACTCAATTATACCTATACTAAATTACAAGGCTAAACAAGCCTTTACGGAGGGTAGAAATTTAGTTTTTCAGAAGTCAGAAACACCCTGTGTGCACTCCTGTAGTCGGATTAGTCACGTCTCTATTATGTTTACTCGCCCAAATTTGTAAATTCTATCGGTAGAAATAATATCTATCGCCATAGCTTCATCTCCATTAGCCAAAGCCTCGCACAAAACTGAAAACCCTGGACTAGAATCAAATTGTTAGCATCTAGTTCAAGCTGTGTTGTGTGGCCAATTCTGAGAGATTTTCAAAACCTTATTGACTGTAATATAATTGCATCACAAATACTTCTGTGGCCTGGGAACCTTACTCTGATGCAACAAGATTAAAGCAATTCGATAATTACGTCAAATACTTGGCCTGGGAGCCTCGCTCTCATGAATCGTGAGCCAATCACCTTGCATAATTTACTAATGAGAGCGAGGCTCCAAGAACAAAAAGTATGTGTGATGCCTAGGCTCACAGGCCAATAAGAGATTTTGTGACATGTTTATTGAAAGGGTATGTTGTTTTGGGGCTATGTGAATGAGTATACTGACAGTTCATTGCCTTGAATATTGCCATGAAAACATTCACTCTGAATGAAATGTATGTATTCCAAGCCCATACAATCTGTGCCTGTGAGTTTATGACAATAAGGCATAAAAAACCCTGTGGTTCCGGTTTCATATTGTGAAAAAATTAGGGTTGGTAGGTCGGAAATAATTTTTTTTTAAATTCTTTTCTTCATGGTTTTGGTGTTTTTTTGCTGGGCGATTTGCTGTAGAGTCCCGACATCAATATTAACTAGAGATGCGTATTTCCTATGGACAAATTTCGGCAATTTGGTTCAATAATTAGTGTGACAACAGATGCCATTTTGGCATGCTGTATGAGCAGCCTGCAACCACCTGGAGAAAATAGGGTCGCACGGTCAATCGCGTTGAAAAAAATAATAGGGTCGGTCGGGAACCGGAACCACAGGTATTTTTTTTACGCCTAATAAGAAAGTGGCAGTCTGCTTTGTATTGTTCAAGAAGTCGTATTCCTTATTGACCTGCGCCTTTCTTATTGCATGCCCGTACATATGACCTTGTTTACAAAATGAAACAATTTTATTTAGCTTGTATTGTGATGGACAAGGAATCTGGGAATTCTCGAGGGTTTGGATATGTGACATTTGCCGAATCAAACGACGCTGAGGCTGCCAAGAATGCATTGCAGGCATGGGTAAGTGTAAGATCGTGCTTCTGAGATTCAGGAACTCAAGTTGGAATTCAAGCCTGAGTTGTTTCCACTTTGTAAAACTGACATTTTTCATGAAGGAAATTCAGCACGAGTTTCGTATTATAATTGAATTGGGAGGTGTTTCCACTTTGCAAACTGAAATTTTCATGAAGGAAATTTGTGAACAAGTTTTGTATTATAATTGATTGGGTGTTTCCACTTGAAATTTGTGAAAATCCTGCATATATTAAATTTGGAAATTTTTGTTTTTTCTTAGTCAATTGATGGTAAAGAAATAAATATTGAATATGCGAATCCCAAAGACCCAGCCAGAGAAGCCGCGAAACGAAACAGTCGCTATGGTGGCGGGGGTGGTGGTTATGGTGGTGGGGGTAGAGGTGGTGGTTATGGTGGTGGGGGCAGAGGTGGTGGTCGAGGTTATGGTGGTGGGTATGGTCGTGGTGGTGGAGGGGGTGGATATGGACGAGGGAGTCGGGGTGGACCTCCAAGAGGTGGTCGTGGTGGACCTCCCAGGGGAAGAGGTGGCCCCCCACGTGGTCGCGGTGGTCCAGATAGACGACCACCACCCTCCCGTGGATATAGTGATGGTTATGGTGATGATCGTGGGTACGGTGGTGGTGGTGGTGGTGATAGTTATGGCAGCAGAGATAGTTATAATGATGGTGGGTATGGTGGAGGTGGTGGTTATGATGCACCCAGACGTGATAGTGGTGGATATGGTGATCGGGATCGCGGCTATGGTGGTGGTGGTGGTGGTGGTGGTGGAGATCGTTACCAGAGGAATGACCAAAGCTATGGTGGAGGAAGGTAAGTTTTCTTGGAAATATGAGAACCAATGTTTAGTGGTGGGTTTGATAAGTGTGCCAGCCATTTTGTTGTGAGCATTTTGAAAGAATTTCAACCAATATCTGCTTTGCATACTCCCTCAGCACAAAAACAAGGCACAGTAAAATTTTGACCTTAATTTGTTAAATTTTCACTGTACCAAATCAATGTGCACATCACATACTGTTCATTAAAACTGTTGATTAGTGAAACCTATATAAAACTCTAATGAGCACCTAAAGTATTCTTCCTAAGTGTGGTTCTTCGTTTTTCTTAGTGATGGTTATGGTCAGTCAACAGATAGATATGGTGGTCCTCCTTCTGGTGGTCAGCAAGGTGGCCAGAGAGGTTACAGTGGTGGCCAAGGTGGGTTTTAATGTTTGTAGCATCTTTCACACAGGTCAGGCTAATGCAAGTCAAGCAAAAATGAATCTGACAACTTTGACCCCACCCTAGACCCGGTCCCCCAGCAGTGCGTGAGAAAAAATTGTCCTCTTTCGTTCCTCAGCCGGCAGAAAATAACATTTTTATTCAAATTAGAGGATTCCATTTCATTGTTGCTTGTAATACTGACAGTTTTCAAAATTGAGATATCTTTGGGTTCACAGAGCACTTTGAACTCCTTAAATTTCCAGATAGTTGGAGCAAATATAAAATGAAAGTTCAATTTTTATCAAACTTTTGCTGAAGATTAATTATATGGATTTAAAAGTTTGTTTGGAATAGCTTTTGCCTTTTATTTTATATTTGCAGAATATTTTGCCCTTGTGATTTTAACATTCAATCTCCTTGTCATAATAATCATGAGGATATTCCTATTTTCCAAAAAGAAATGCTGTTGTTGTTTTCTTGCTAATATTAACATAACGTCATTTTATTCTAAGGCCGTGATTGGTGAGAGCTGCCGTCATCCGCTTCGGAAATCCGGATTTAAACTCGTGTAGAAAAGTGTACAATAGCCGTGTTATATCGTCCTAGACAAGACTTCGGAGCCGTGATCATCGCTGCATATTTTAGTATCATTCGTAATAGTTTTAAATCTGAACTGTAAATTTCGCCGGTAGTCTCGATAGAACTAGATTGACAAATCTCGATGCTGGTCAATAAAGAACGTTGCATCCTAGCTTCTGCTGTAGACATTTTAAAGAAGTTTATGACTGCTATTTGACAGTTTAGTACTCTTGGAACATTGATTTCTCCGTATCTGTTTTAATAAAATATCATTTTTAAAACTTGAACTATCTTTGCCAGTGTTAGGTAGTGCTAATAATAACAAGCTTTCATTGGTAGCGATGCAACCAGGCTTTTAGCCAGAAGGGACGCCCAAATTCCGGGGGAAAAGGGAAATTATTTTCAATGATTTCCCTAAGTATATTAATATATCTGAAACGAAATAGCTTCAATTGGTGTACCTGGCTGAATGAAAATGCCATAGTTAAGTAAAGAAGCATAGCGGCACAAACTCACAAAGCCAAGTGTTTTAAAAAATTTCTAACGAGCTTGGAACAGATACTGACATGAAGTATCTTAAAATTCAAAGGTTTTCCAGAGGAACGTTTTTTTGAACACTTCCCTCTCCCCCCCCCCCTCTCTCCCTCGTTGGATCGTTGTACCAAAATTGGACGCCCTCTTTCAGGACCCTGGCTAAAAGCCTGGATGCAACTACCTGAAAAATATAAGGAGAATTTCGACCCAGTATTCAGTAAATCCACACGACCTTCGCTCGAAACATTGAAATTTTCCTTATAGTTTCCAGGTAGTTTCATCCCTATCAACGAAAGCTTGTGATTTTTAAAAATTCATTCTATTCCTGTGTTTGTTGCTATTCCGTGTCTATTTCTCATCACTTCCTTCTGTTGCCTCCGGGTGTGAACAGTTGCAAATTGGAACATTGCGTTTGAGAATACACACTGTTCATGTTGAGATGCACACGTCGAATTTTATACCATTGTGCAATGAGCCAATAAAAATTTGAGGGTTGGCCAGAATTGAAAGAGAATGAGAGAAAAGAATATTCTTGAATCCAACTTAAAAGGAGCACTCAGTCTTTGGAGTTCAACCGTTCCACGTTTTGTGCGATGGTCCTGTTCGTTTCGATAGCGTTCATATTTAGCGTTCTTCAGAATCGTGCCAGCAGTCGAGCTTGCGTTCTCCAGGTTACATGTTCAAGCCAAAAAAGAATAGAGAGATTAGCCTTTCTTTTGCCGTCGTTTTAACGTCCTTCGTACCGGAATATTTTGCGGGATTCGGATATTCGGTAGAGGTGAGTTACCTTCGTTATTATCGACTTCTGATCAAACTTCCGTGATAGAACCAGTTAGAACAATTGAATATTCTTACTTGTGCAAAACGAAATCATGCAACATATGATCCTTTGATTTTGTAATTCGCTGACATAGTCTGCAATCTGTTTCAAATATCCGTTTGTGTACTTACTGAACTTAACTGCATACCAGGGTTTGTACGAAACTTGATCCTTGAATTTGAAAAATGAAATTAAAGGCCTTGAATTCATCTTATTTTTTTTTTATTTTCTGAAATTGTTTGACATTAAAAAACGGACATTCCGTCGAACCGAGCCCCTAGATGCTGTTTGAAATATGCTCTGTAATCCTTGAATTTCCTGATACATGGCTTTGAAAGACTTTGAATTTTATTGTTTCGAACCCTGTGACATACCTGGGTATGATCTTTATACTTGCTGTCGATCGGTCGAAATACGAGTTTTTGATAATGTATTGAATCCCCAATCCACACGAAATTAAGTGTATTGTAATGAACATTACTTCAGAATTTTCATAAATTAAAACCTAAGCCAACGCGACCTCTTTTCTTAGGATGAATTTTGTGAATGAGAGTATGCCGGAATTGGCCTGGAAAAAAATGGTGGTGAAAATGATGGTGGACGTCGAGTAGTCCGATGGTAAGTGATGGTGGTTACTTTGATAAGTAATGGGTGGTAAGTATGGTGATTGTAGGTTTCCTTCGGAGTTCAGATGGTTAAAACTAGCCCTTATAGTCGAGGATTTTATGTGGTATTACATGCCGTATATCACACCCTAGAAAAACCATAGAAATACGCGTAGCCAACATCAGATAAAAATTGGAAGGAAAGTCTTGTTGTTGTATCGTTCCACTTGACAACAGATCAACACTCTCCCCATCCTTGGAAGTTATATAAAAGAAATTGGACCCAGCAAAGAATCTGCCTTGGGCGGGTGTCCAACAAGCTTGGCAGCACTTACTTAATTACTCGTGATTTATCATGTAATAGTTGTATTGAGACGCATTTCCCTGTAATCACGAAGGTTGAATATTAAAATACTACATTGCAAGCCTGTGGATACCTGTGGTGTGATTTATTGATATTTTTACATTTATCGTAAATTTGAAAGAAATTAATTTCTGATCAAAGTTTTTAAAGATACAATATAGTTCTATATGAATTGTGGTTCAAAATTAACCTTATTTAATATCGAAGCATTATGCCTTCTTAAATATAAATGTTTTTAAATATAACTTTTTATCTACAATAAATCTCTACAAATTTAAATCCAACATGTCAGAAGCCAGGTGTTTCCAAAAGCCTCATGTTATTCCTTGAATGTTCTTTTGGTCAATTGCAAAATGACGACATATGAAGGTTTTGGACATTGTTGCGAGCTGTAAAACAAAAGACATAAATATTTGAGTGAATTATTCTGCCTCCAGCCCGAGTTCTGTACATCAGCAAGGTAGTACTCACCTTCAAAGTAAAACGTGTCCATATCATCATCTGGATTTGGAACAAATGGTGGTGGATAACCATCAATGTTGGACCATTCCAAGACGGAGAAGAATGGTAACTTCTTAATATCTGAAAAGTAATTGGAACTAAGCGAACATCCTGTAGTAATTTAATATTTTTAACTAAAAGTGAATGTCAGGATCATTTTTCATGAAACGTTTAGGGAGTACTCTTCCAAAAGTACATTCAAAATGTTAATTTTAGGAAACGAAATCTATTTAGGAAGTGATATATAGTTAGGAAGTGAAATTTCAGAATTCTTCCAAAAGTGAATATTATAGGAGATTAAATTAAAAAACAATTCTTGGATGTGATGGGAAGATCATTAGAGCAGAATTCAGAAAAGCATTTGTCACTTCAAAGTATTTTTCAAGAAGTCAAGATTTGAAGAATATCTTTTCACGAAATGATTTTAATTTTTAAAGATGTTTGAATTTCAAGAAAAACCTGTATTATATTTCACTTTTCACAGACCTTTAGCCTCGGGTCTCTGTGTGATATCTTTGACAAGAATATTAGCAATGGCTGCTTCTGCATCTTCCGATAATGCTTCATCCCCTTCAGGAAGCAAATACTCTGAAAAAATATTCAAGATTTGCACAAAGAGTAAACACTGGTGTGTATGTAGCCTAGTGCTAGGCAGAGGTTTAATACATGAAAGCATTATACCATGCATGCGAGTTTTTGAAGTTGTTAGTAACTCCAGGTTTGCATAGCTGCCCTCGCATGATTCGTGGAGTTAGCCTAGAACTCCAGAATTCTTTCTTTCACCTAAGTTTTCAACTCTGGAATTGAAGCTAATGTCTAGAAATGAGGTATACAGTACGTTTTGAATTTGGATTCGGCCTCTTATTACCATGGCTCGCATGGTCTGCAAGAGGCTGAACTACATCCTTTGCGATGCAGCTCTGAGCTGTAAGATGCAATGGACGGTATAAACTCTCTTACCTATGCCCATAATGTGTTCGAAGATCAACTCGGGTGTTTCATCAGAGAACGGAGGAATGCCTGTCAGGAACTCGTAGAGACAAACTCCCAATGCCCACCAGTCTACACCAACACCTGCAAAGTAGAATTCTATCAGTTGTAAACTGTTCTCTCAAGAGATCCAGTAAGGACAATCTGCAAAGTAGAATTCTATCAGTTCTAAACTGTTCTCTCGAGAGGTCCAGTAAGGACAGTCTGCAAAGTAGAATTCTATCAGTTCTAAACTGTTCTCTCAAGAGGTCCAGTAAGGACAGTCTGCAAAGTAGAATTCTATCAGTTCTAAACTGTTCTCAAGAGGTCCAGTAAGGAAAATCTGGAAAGTAGAATTCAATCAGTTCTAAACTGTTCTCTCAAGAGGTCCAGTTAGGACAATCTGCAAAGTAGAATTCTATCAGTGCTAAACTGTTCTCTCAAGAGGTCCAGTAAGGACAATCTGGAAAGCAGAATTCTATCAGTTCTAAACTGTTCTCTCAAGAGGTCCAGTTAGGACAATCGGGAAAGTAGAATTCTATCAGTTCTAAACTGCTCTCTCAAGAGGTCCAGTAAGGACAATCTGCAAAGTAGAATTCTATCAGTTCTAAACTGTTCTCTCAAGAGATCCAGTAAGAACTTTTAATGCTTACCATGATCTTGCCGCAGTAAGACCTCTGGAGCAAGGTAATCTGGTGTTCCGAGGATCCTCTGAATGGGTTTGGGAGCTGCTCCCCTCTTGCATGATTTTGGAGTTCTCAGTGGAGTTGCCTAAAAAAATTACCAAGATGTTGAATTGTGAGTGGGTCAGAATTCAAAAGAAATGAAGCGAAATATTTCTCTGTAAGTGGAAAGTAACATTCACACCAACGCAGGCTCAACTTTATTTCCCTAGTTATAACATAGACTTAAGTGTCTCTGGAAATATGACGCCATACTCACGTGATTATGGCGACGTCGACGTGGCGTGGTATTGGAACTCCGCGGCGGGACATTGTAAGCAATTTCCATCGGTGACTGAAATCTGATTCGTGTTACTGACGCAGTTTGAAAATGTTTTGGAGCATTACCAACCGGTGTCTGAAATACTTTCTTTCCATTTTCCTCGCTCGTGGATTGTCCCGCGTGGACGTCGTGCGACGATAAGTGGAACTCACGCGAGGAACGCGCGGGAGTGACAAATGATGAAGATGAAATTGTCATTTGACTATTCTCAGGACTTGCGCGTGTGTCACGCGTGGAACTCGCGTGTGACCCACGCGTGGAAATGTTGGAATTCGTAGATTTCGGTATAGCGCTAACTTCACTGCTACATGAATAAAACACACTTGGTGGGGTGTTCATCGATTTGCCATGATTATCCCCTGTAATATCATTTTCACCACAACTATCATAACATGATCCAGGAGGTACAGATATATCCCCATTGTGTCCCAAGGGTTCGTGGGTAGATATTCCTGGGGGTGCACAGATACCTCCACTTTGTCCCTCCCTATCCCGTACAGGTTGATGGATAATATCTTGTTCAATAAAACTTCCATCCATTAGACTTTCATTGAGTGAATCGTTTATATTAAAAACTCCCGAAATTCTTGTTTCCTTGGCAACTGGTAACGTCGGCACAGCCACGTCATCTCCTTTAGCAACCGTTTTCTTGACAAAGCTGGAGGGCATGCTTTTTGATTGTTTAATCTCAAAACCTTGGATTTCGCAGGTCAAACCAGTCGGGCTCATTCGACGTCGCTTCGGTGATCGTTCAGTGTCGTCGTCCTCCGAATGTGGCCTCGCCTCATGTTCGGGGCTCTCCGTATCTGACCAATTTGCTCGCCAAGATTTCATGTTGCGTTTTCGGCCTCTGTGTTCTATAGAAGCAAAGAAATTTTGATCTCTAGGAAGAACAGTTTAGAACTGACAGAGTTATCCAGTATAAATAAAGTTAGTTTAGTTTAGGTTTCCTTCTGTAGTAACACTGGGTCAATAAGAGATGATCCTTACTGGACCTCTAGGAAGAACAGTTTAGAACTGATAGAGTTATCCAGTATAAATGAAGTCAGTTCAGTTTAGGTTTCCTCCTGTAGTAACACTGGATCAATAAGAGATGATCTTTACTGGACCTCTAGGAAGACCAGTTTAGAACTGATAAAGTTATCCAGTATAAATAAAGTTAGTTTAGTTTAGGTTTCCTCCTGTAGTAACACTGGATCAATAAGAGATGATTCTTACTGGACCTCTAGGGAGAACAGTTTAGAACTGATAGAGCTATCCAGTATAAATAAAGTTAGTTTAGGTTTCCTCCTGTAGTAACACTGAATGAATAAGAGATGATCCTTACTGGAACTCTAGGGAGAACAGTGTTTAGAACTGATAGAGCTATCCAGTATAAATAAAGTTAGTTTAGTTTAGGTTTCCTCCTGTAGTAATACTGGATCAATAGGAGATGATTCTTACTGGACCTCTAGGAAGAACATTTTAGAACTGATAGAACTATCCAGTATAAATAAAGTTAGTTTAGTTTAGGTTTCCTCCTGTAGTAACACTGGATCAATAAGAGATGATTCTTACTGGACCTCTAGAAAGAACAGTTTAGAACTGATAGAGCTATCCAGTACAAATAAAGTTAGGTTAGTTTAGGTTTCCTCCTGTAGTAACACTGGATCAATAAGAGATGATTCTTACTGGAACTCTAGGGAGAACAGTTTAGAACTGATAGAGCTATCCAGTATAAATAAAGTTAGTTGACATCATGACTGGTTCACACCTACCTGACTTCTCGTGCACGGTATCAGGGTTGAGCGGTGTCGTTATAAAGGACCTCGTCCGCGACTCAATGTCAGGAGTCTTGTACACACTATTCCTGCCAGATGATAATCTGCGGTTTATGCGTTTACTGTCTGGTGTGGCAAAAAGATACGGTGTCTCAACTGTGTCCGGCCGTTCCTCCGTCAAAATCCGAGACAGCATACGAGACCTGGGTTTTATTGACTTTGGGATAGACTGTAAAGTAATGAGTAGGTTTTAAGGCTGGGTTTACACTATCAAAGTTTCTGTGGTCACAGTAGGAATTGTAGATGGGTAAATTCTAAGTTTTGAAGGATTTGTAAGAAATGTTTGAGGAAACTAACTCAGTGTTTAACACTATTCAGTTTCCTCAAACATTTCTTACAAATCCTTCAAAACTTAGAATTTACCGACGCAAAATTCCTACTGTGATCACAGAAACTTTGATAGTGTAAACATTTCAGAGGTTAACCACCATACGTTGTCCTGCAGCGTTTATTGAAACCCACCAATTTCACGTGAAACTTACAAAAGTGAAATCTGTCGTAAGCGATGCAATTTGTCCCGGCGTCCTCCAGTAGCCTGGTGACGAGACTGAAGGCTTACATGATGGCGTGTTCATCACATCCATGATCGTTGGTTCTGTAAAGAAAGAAAAACGTTTAGTTCTGGGTTTCACTATAAAGCACTATCGCGCAGCAGATGGTGATCAACCTGCAGTTATCAGAGAGTAAAAGTGATGTTAATAGACCTTTCCCCTTTTAAGTGAAAATTTGATCTAGACAAGTCTGGACAAAATTTCATCACAGCTTGAAAGAGCATCACAAAATTAGTAATATTCCAAAGTTTCGTTGCGAAATGTTGTAAAATGCGGATAATATAGCCTTGCGAAGTTTGCCGTTTTTCAGTCATTTTGTATTACAAATAGGAAATTTAGAATCAGATGATCAAACTGATTATCAATTTCCCGTTTGTAATTATACCAAATGACTGAAAAACGGCAAACTTCGCAAGGCTGTATTATCCGCATTTTACAACATTTCGCAACGAAACTTCGGAATATTACTAATTTTGTGATGCTCTTTCAAGCTGTGATGAAATTTTGTCCAGACTTGTCTAGATCAAATTTTCACTTAAAAGGGGAAAGGTCTATTCTTTGACATCAATATTGTACATTATATACATTAGATACATTACATAGAGATACATTATAATATTTATATAATTGCATTTTATAAGACGGTAGATAATTATTTACTAGTTTACTAGTTGTCACCAAATCATTAATTTTGTAATGCTAAATCGTTTAGACGCTTTAATAAAGTTTATTATTATTATCTACCACTCCTTTTAGTCCAGAGAAAGACCACAAATTTGGAATAAACCTGTGTGTTTAAAATTGTGCCCTTTTCGTATTTCTTACTTTTATTCCTCTCCAGATCCAATTTTGAAAGACCAAAGTCTGTCAGTTTAATACGTCCTTCGTTGGTCACCAACATATTGTCTGGTTTTAAATCCCTAGAACACAAGAAAAGTTTCACAGTTTTCACAATGGTGACAACATCTTATTGGTCATTGCCATTTTTATGTACCTGTGAATTATTCCATGGCTGTGAAGATATTCTAACGCTAGTACTACCTGAAACATCAAAAAACAATATCAATTTCCGTGCTGACTTTATTTGAAATTTGGAAAATTGGAACTTCTTATTAATACGATTTCTTTCTGTACAAGAATGAGTGTTTCACCTGAGCAATGTAAAGTCGGGACATTTGTTCATCAAAGAAACCCATACTATGTAACAATGATTTGACGTCACCACCGATCAAATACTCCATAACCTAAGAATGTTACAATAAATTAGAAATGGTTATTACTGTACGAAATTTTGATCTAGACAGGAAGAACAAAATCCATTACCATAGCTGGAAAGAGCATCTTAAAATGAGTAAAATTGCATAGTCTGGTTGCGAATTGTTGTAAAATGAGGAAAATATAGCCCTGCGAAGTTCGCAAATTTTGTATAGATTTGCATTACGCGCGGGGAAAAATAACCACTTTTGAGCCGTAAGTGGTTATTTTTACCGCGCGTAATACAAATATATACTATATTTTCTTCATTTTACAACATTTAGCAACCACTCTTTGCAGTTTTACTCATTCTAAGACGCTCTTTCTAGCTGTGGTGTTGGATTTCGTAGTCGAGTCTGAACCTTTGGCTTTGCTGAAAACCATTTTCATGTTAAAGCTTATATGACCGAACGTACCAGAAATATCTGATCTTTTGATTGAAAAGAATAAAAGAGATGAACGATATGAGGGCTTTTGGATATTGCCAGAGCATCTCTTTCAGCCACGACTACAAAATGAACGTAAAGATTTAGTTCTAAAGATTTTCAATTATAACATTCGGAGTAACCAGACGCGCTAAAACATGAATTTGAATTCGTCCTCACCTTGATCAATCATGTTCTTTTTAACCAGTTCAGTTTTTTTCATTGTTTTAATGGCGTAAAGCATTCCTGACTTGTCATCAGTCTTGTCTTTCTTCTTGCCAAGGAATACTTGGCTAAACAGAATGGATACATTTGAGAATATTTGGAATTATTTTCATGCTTGTAGATGGGATTAGCACAGGGCATAGCTGTTATTAAATTAAGACTCCTTAGATACATAGAAAACCACACACCATAACATGTAAATTACCATACCATGCCATACTGAACAAAACCATACCAAAACATTGTACCATACTCAATCAAACCATACCACACTGCACCATATTGTAACAAAACATACCAAAACATTGCACAATATATTGTGCCGTACCGTATTAAATTATACGACACCATACCATGCCACATAATATGACACCATACTGCACCATACAATATGAAACCACACCATGGTACCACACACTAACACCATACCATGGTACAAGTCTACTCCATCCGATCTTCCAACCTCCCCTTACAATATACCACATGAATGACATAAGACACCATGAGTACAATATATTATATATTTTAATTTTACCCATATGCTCCTCGGCTTATAGGCTTAATCACATCAAAATCTTCTATCTCAGGAAGCTATAAATATAAAGTAAAGATAGTTATATGTTTGTGATGTTGTCTCTGACCACACCGGGCAAATTGAAAAGCTTTAAAGCCTGCTTGACCGCGGTGGGAGTCGAACCCACGACCTTTGGTTTACTTGTACAAATATTATGTACGTATTGTTTATAAATTTGTACAAACCTTCACAGCTGATTGTGTAGTCATACTGCAAATTTGTCCAAAAAGACACCAAAATTGAAAGCCAGTGACCGATCACATAACAAAATCGTAAAATAAAACAAAATTTTGAATTTGAAACCAAATATTTTCAAAATCAAAACATTCGAATTTTCCGCTCTCATGGGGTATACCGCTGTGCAGAGTGACCTCATATCCAGTGATTTCAGGCTGGCGGATTTTAGGGTGGCTACAGGTTTTTGACGCAAATTTAACAATAACAATGTTAGTTTAAAAGAAAACCGCGTTTATGTGAGCTTAGAATAGTTTTCAAGTTCAAAAGAGATTGCTATCGATGCGAAAAGGTGTAATTTTGTTCAAAATAAAGTTTTTATCGCTGTCCTGTCTTTGGTGTCAAATAAATGCGGGAACCTGCACGACTAAACACCCGCGAATTTCAAAGATTTGCATATTTAAAATGGACGCTGCGGACTTGCACCTGTTCTTGTTCCAACAACTTTTAAACAAATCATTTTAACGTTTGTTTAACTTCTATTCAACTAAAGCATGGCCGTACAAGACAATACAGTAAAACAACGAAAGAAAGAAGCGTCTAAAACCAAGTTTCAAAAAACAAATGCTGAAGAGTCGAAGACAGAACGAAGCGAATCTAATTTTGGGACATCGAACTTTCGGACTAACTTTTTGTATTTCGTGTATATTACTGCGTTTCTGGCTGTTATTTTCTTCTTGTCCTGGTTCATTTTGTGCAGTACACTTTGTAAAGGACTCTCGTTTTGCAGTAGAGAGTTTTTGACGAGTTTTCTACGGCGCGAGGGAAATTTAAATGACAGTATTGAAGCAACTTTAACTTTGGAGCCGCGTGTCCCGCCAAAAGATGATAGTTTGCTATGGCTCATCGAACGGCGTTCAAATTTAAGTTTAAGCGAATTTATAGAGAAATATGATGGCAAAAGGTTTGTTGAACGGTTTTGAAGTTGGAAACGTTGATATTCAGTGTTGTAAAAATTACTGAAGAAAAGTAATGAGTAGAAATTTAATAGTAATTGTTGGTTACAAATTACTTTACTAGAAAAAGTAATAAATTACCATGTACTAATTACTTATACTAATTGGGTTATGGGAGTGGTATTCGATCGACCCATTACCTCAGCTGTCAGAAAAGTGCTCACAGTTTTTTCTCCTGTAGTACCACTGGATCAATAAGAGATGATTCTTACTGGACCTCTAGGAAGAACAGTTTAGAACTGATAGAGCTATCCAGTATAAATAAAGTTAGTTTAGTTTAGATTTCCTCCTGTAGTAACACTGGATCAATAAGAGATGATTCTTACTGGACCTCTAGGTAGAACAGCTGAGAACTGATATAGCTATCCAGTATTGCTCGTTTGTAATCAACACCATATTGGGTGATTTTCAAAATACATTTGGGAAACTATAAAATAAATGTTCTTCATTCTTTGTTGTATTGAGCCAAAGACCATATTAAACTATCCATAATACAGTAACATGTTTTCAAAACAAACCAGAAAATGTTAAATTAACTCAACTACTTCGCTGTAAACGAAATAACGAAAGTTTACAATCAACCAACTCAATGGCACCTAATGACTTGTAGTGAGGTCGGGTG